CACATATGTACGTCATACATACATATATACATACATACATACATACATACATAGATCATACATATCACACACGCGCGCACACACAAAGATTTCATTCAACAAATCTCACGATGGACAAGAACAAATATGATACATTGACTTAGGGAGATCCCAAGTGAAACATTATTTATGGTGTCGACGACTCTGATAAATATTGCAGTGCTTGTGTATGTGCAAAGAGATTAAAAAAGAAATAATTCATGGTATAGATCATGAGTTAGAGAGATAGAGAGGGAGGGAGGGAGTGAGAGAGAGAGAGAGAGAGAGAGAGAGAGAGAGAGAGAGAGAGAGAGAGAAAACGAATCTCTAAGAAAGCTCAGTGTTACCAATAATATTTAAACTCTGACGTTATGTCCTACCTCTTATGATCGTTCTAATTCTTCTTTCTTCTTTGGAGTCCTAACATAAACTAAATAATATAAACGGGAGGAAGAATGTTCTGTGAAAGAAGGAAGAAGGTAAAAATATAAAAAAGAAAAAAGCAAATGGAGGAAGACTGCTGTGCAAGACGCGTGTCCGCCGATGGATTGCGTAGGTAGGCCCTTTGATTAAAAGAAAAGAAAAGAAAAGAAAAGAAAATAAAAGAAAAAAGGGCTAGGGCTACCGTAAGAGCCCCTTTTTCCGTTTGCGTTTAGACCTTATAGTCAATTCGAGAATTGACTAATTGGATTATTTTAGAAAGAGACAAAGAGAAATCGAGTGTCCGTGTGTGTGAGAGGACGATGCGTCGATAATATTTTTCTTTTTTTCATTTCAAATTTCTCGGATTTTTTACCGAGTTTATTATTACTTAACCTTCTCAAAGGTTCGTAATAAGGTTCGAATGGATTTCTTGAGGGATCTTTGGAGGGACTTAACGGCGAGTTTAGCTTTGGTCATCGATTGGCACGTGCTTTTTTAACCGTTCGGCGCCGACGGGGATAGGGGGTCAGAAAATAACTGTTCAATATTCGTTAGAAAATTGGCGATATTAAGGATTTAACATTCAAAATGTTTAAGTTAAAAGTCTTTTCCTAAACGATTTTAAAAATCAGTTACTCTTTTTCAAAGCATTTTCTAAAGGTAGATTTCATTTTTAGATCGTAAAACTGTAAACCTCTGACTATGAACCTAAAAGGTCTCGAAAAAGAGTAATCGTTTTCTAAAATCACTTACAAACTTTTACCCTACCATGTAAATAAACCTAATTTGTTTGATCATGAAAGTGATTTGAGAAAAAGAAGGAACGAAAAAAGAAGAGAAAAAAAGGATACAGGAACAAAATGGAGGATTTCTGTTACGCGAACAAGTTCACACGCGCGTTTACCTAAACACTTGCTCGATTAAACCTTAAACCTTAAGCCGAAAGGCCAATCTCGAGTACCCATGTTTAGTACGAATGTGTGTACGCATCTATGCACGTACGTATACATTGGTGTCCCATGTGTTTGAAAAATAGGAGAGATAGCGTGTGGCTTGCAATTTCGACGATTTGCTCCGATCAATTTATTTTCTCGTGACAAAACGTTTTAAACGAAAATTCTACAATTATCGATTTTCATTTATTTATTTACTTCTTTTTTTATAGACTGCGGGCCAAAAGTGTTCCCAGGTGATTTTCAAAATCAATTGCCTTTTTTTCAAGAGCTTTTAGATTCATTTTTTTTTAGATCGTAAAACCACAAGCCTAACACTATAAGCCTAATAAGTCTCAAAAAGGAATAATTTATTTTTATAATTATCAAGGAACTTTTTTCGGTCCACCTAGAGATTCTTTGGTCGCACTGATATATTTAATATATCACCATGTCGCAAATATGGCGAATCGTTCGATGAATAAACAAAACGCATTTACTTGGCAACGTAATTGCCAACAAAAATTCGTTCTATGCGGTTTTTATTATTACTATTATTATCATCATCGTCGTTATTTTCTTTTTTTTTTTTTTTTTTTTTTTTTTTTCTATTAATTCTCTTTTTTCTCTCTTATAAATGAAAAGTGACATGTATTGGATTATTTTTCGTCAAATGCTATTAACGTTTATTTCGAATTTTTTGTTCAACTTATATCCTAAAAACATATCGCATAACATATCATTAAATCCAACATATTTCAGGGCGAAGACAGTGGATTTTATTCTGAATAACCATTTGTTTCGTAATATTTCCAATGAATATTATATCAGTCGTAATAAATGATATTAAAATAATCGTTATTAGGATCCTCCTTTCGACAACTATAAACCTATATGTATTTTATTTATAATAATAATAATTATTATGTATTTACTTATTACGAGAAATTATTATTTATATGATTTTTCTTTTGTTTTTTTAAATTATTTGGTAGATAATTGTAGAAAATTGTTTCGTCGCAAACAATTTTTGTATATTTCATATTACATTATGCTATATTTTACGTGCATACATACATACATATAGGAACAATATTGATCTGTAGATTAAGTTGATATTTATAAGAAGATTAATCTAAGGTCTCGAAAGCTCCAGTGGTTTAAAACACATGCTAATAAATTGAGACCCCGAAGAAACGAACAACCCAGATTTGGCTCCCTGCCTCCACCATTCTCGGACGACCCGAAAGTCCTGGCCTTTTCACGAATTCTAGATATTTAATATGACATACCGGAGTATATATGAGAATATGAACAATATTGATACATATATAAATGGATAGAAAATTGATATATAAACATGGGCAAAAATATACACACACACAGATAGATAGATATATATATATATATATATATATATATATATATATATATATACACACACACACACATGTGCGTGTGAGAACACGAACAAAAGTTATGAACCAATATTGAAATATATATATATACACACACGTATACATATGAATAAATATTAACTTATATATATAAACAATAAATATATTCATATGTATTACATATACACGCACACATTCACACACACACCCACACGTGTGTGAGGTATAGTGCACAACGGAAATAGAACATTAATCTTTTGTATGAATCGTCGTTCCATTTTGCTAATAGAGAAAAAAAAAGAGAAATGCGTAAAATCGGTCGACATTGTACTGGATAAATATCGTTAATTACTCTCGTTCGAATGTCGGTCGCGTACTGCGGATCCTGATGTAATTACTCGATGCACGACGTTTTATATCACTGCTGTTTTTATTTTTTTGTTTCCTTCTTTTTTCTCCAGATAAAGAGAGACAGAGACACTAGGAAGGGTTTGCATGTATCGATCCTCGTTACTTTCCAAACCGAGTTTAGAGTTTCTCTGATCACGTATCACGAGATATATACTTCCAACTATTTAACTAGATTCTTTTATCTTTCTGTGAAGAATTTTTTTATCCTTTTTATTTCTTTTTTCCTTTTTCTAGAGAAAAGAGAAAAGACAAAATTGAAAGGACAACGCGAGAGAGAAAGGGGGACGGGGAGGGAGGGAGAATAAAATTCGTTAGTTATACACACACGTGTCGATATTCGTTAAAAATATCAAACGTGTTTTTAAATATGCTGCTGACTGTGCATTTGTGTGCATGCGTGTGTCTGTATTCATATAGTTTCGTATATAAAAAAAATTGAGAACAAAGGCTGGAGAATAAGTAACAAGTCACACGTTTGAACATTTCTATAGGAAGGGCCAAAGGTCACTAAAAGTATCTAGCTGATTTTAAAAGTCAATTATTCTGTTTCGACACTTTTTAGGCTAATTTTCACTTCAGATTTTAGCCCACCCTGTATTACACTTATCTTTAACTTTCTGCGCGTACGTATTTCTGTTTAATATACGTGCATAGTTCTATTTCATTTTATGCACAAATTTTTTCATTTCAATTTCAATTAAACATATTAATATACTACAAATACATATACGTATATACTTTACGTGCATAAATCTCTCGAATAATTGATATGTATAATTAAATAGTATACACACGTATATGTATTTGCGTAGATATATTTTTATATAGATGTATAGACGTTTTATGTATATATGTATATATATATACGTACACACATATGTATGTAATATACAATATATGCCTCTCGTGTATATACGTACATATAGTTTATTATTCATTTTGTAAAGGATATTTATTTTTTAAATGTTTTTTTTTTCACAATGGTTTATTTTTTTCATTTATCTATGAAATAAGGCAGTCAATTTCGTTAATAATCTTTACATAACAACAACTTTTGATGTTAGATTACGATCTTGGACAAGCTCGTAGGTACAGTCGTCGCTTCCTCATATTCCCTTTACAATTTTTAACCCGGCCAATCGATACTTCCGTCATCATCGTTGAAAACTCAGCCGAAGCATATTTGACCTGCTATTCGGAGAGAGCGAGCGAGCGAGCGAGCGAGCGAGCGAGCGAGCGAGAGAGAGAGAGAGAGAGAGAGAGAGAGAGAGAACTAGCCGATTTACTTTCTTCGTTTGAAATAGATCGACCTTTCAGATAACAAAAGCTCCTTCACATAAACTCAGCCAGTTAGGTTCGATAATCGTCTGAACTAACGCACAACTGTCATTTCTAAATAATTACATGTCTATATGTTTGTATTAAATACTGTCAATCAATTAGGCCATTCAAACTTAAAACTTTCGATTCTATTTCTTGAAACTGTTTTTCTAGAAAAAAAAAATCACTATGCTATATATATACGTAATAACGACAAGAAGTCTATCAATCGTCATCGTCATCGTCATCATCGATCGTTCTCTTAACGTTATATGATTTAAATCTTAATTGCTTTATATATTAAATGAGAAATTAAATAACGTCATTAAGTTGATGACGCTCAACAAAGCTTGGATTAGTCAGGCTAATACGGAAGAAGACAATTGTATTCTTGCCTTTACGATTGATCTTCGTAAGGGTTCATTTTCATTGGTTTTTGGAAAAAGACTGAATTTGATTGGTGAAAACGATTCAATTTTATTCTCTGATTAATCGACATTTCGAAGATTCATAGAACGAGTTGGATTCGCTTTTGTGATTGATATTGTTATAAAACAAAAGGAATAAAGTTTAAATGATTTTTCATGACAGATAAAAACGACGTTTTGAGTATAGAAAAGAAAACGAAAAAAACATGTCATTATATTCGACAACGCTTTGGATTAAATAAATTATTATTTCGACGAATTTTGAAAGAGAAAGAAAAAGGCACGTAAAAATTTCCCTCTGTTCTATACTACTGACTGTACCTCGTTTATTATACTATACATGGTTCGAAATACGTGACACACAATACAACTGATTGTGAGTTTACTAACCTCTTTCTAACGAATGCATTCGTACAACGAACGAGAGAGAGAGAGAGAGAGAGAGAGAGAGAGAGAGAGAGAGAGAGAGAGAGAGAGAGAGAGAGAGAGAGATAGAGAGAGAGATGTTACATTTTTTTAACAGCAGAACGTGACAATATAAACATATATTAAACATATTTATCATTCTGAATAATGACTAAATATATAAAAAATTTTTTATCGACATGATCCTGCATGACGGATATTATTATCAAAAATGTATTA